AAGTACAAACACCTAGAGGTTGAACAAGTACAAACACCTAGAGGTTGAACAAGTACAAACACTCAGAGGTTGAATAAGTACAAACACCTAGAGGTTGAACAAGTACAAACACCTAGAGGTTGAACAAGTACAAACACCTAGAGGTTGAACAAGTACAACACCTAGATGTTGAATAAGTACAAACACCTAGAGGTTGAATAAGAACAAACACCTAGAGGTTGAACAAGTACAAACACTTAAAGGTTGAACAAGCGCAAACACTTAAAGGTTAAACAAGCACAAACACTTAAAGGTTGAACAAGCACAAACACTTAAAGATTGAAGAAGCACAAACACCTGGAGGTTGAACAAGCACAACACCTCAACCGGCACTGATGTGTTACGAATTAGAACTCTAAACAAAAATTTTTAATTTTCTAAATATGAAATGCATGTATTAGAGAGTTAAATATGTGCTGTTTGCATACCATATATGTTGTTAAGCTTACTTACTTAAAATATTAATGAGTTTGTAGACAAAGCCGCGCTTATGTCTTACGTAATATTCTATTCTAAACTAACCTTATATATTTGTACAATGTGAAGCCTAAAACTCCACATAATGATATAATAAACTTCAGTGGATCATACTTAACATAATTATATTTAACATTTAAATTATATTATTGTCTAAGTCATTTACGGTTGTCACTTACGAAGAAATTTATTACAATGCGCGGTTGTCTGCCAGAAAATTAGCAAAGATAAAACGAAAAGAGAAAATTCCATTTCTGCTTGAGAAAAAAAATATTTTGACATTAAATCTCGTGATCCCAACATTTAAGAAATGTGATTTCCTATACACATTAGTGGGTATTTGTATGAGGTTTTTAGAAAAGTTTTCCTTTCGAGAGATATTTGAGATAATGCATGAAACCTATATAGAGGTAGAAAGTAATATTTCAACTTTGTGTGATAAAAAGACTTCCTTAATCAATCCTTCAATGTTTACACTTATAACGAATTAGTCAAGATGTTATCTAACAAAAAGTTTTAAATTAATTCGATAACCTGTTGTCAGATCTACTACGTTGTTAAATAATGCAAATTTCACTTGTGTTACCGTAGCTAGCAGGTTAAAATGTGCTTTGACTAGCGGGTTAAAACATCCTCTGGCTAGCAGTTTAAAATGTGCTCTAGTTAGCAGGTTAAAAAGTACTTTAGTTAGCAGGGTAAAGTGTAACCTAACTAGCAAGGTAAAAAGTGCCCTAGAAAGCAGGGTAGGAAATGCCCTAGCTAACAATGTCAAAAGTGCCTTAGCTAGCAGGGTAATAAGTGTTCTAGCTAGTATGATGAGAAATACCTTAGCTAGCAAACTAAGAAGTGTCCTAGCTAGCAGGGTAATAACTTTCATAGCTAATAGGGTAAGAAGTGTCTTAGCCAATAGGGTAAGTAGTGTTATTTTATTTGATAAGTTATTTTCGTGGGTGTCAGGGTTATCGAATGCTTAAAACATTACTATAAATTAATACAAAGTCATTATAATTTTAGAATTGTATAATACTGCTTAAACGTGATTGTGAATGGCAACCTCCTGCACATATGTATTTTTTCAATTACGCTGATATATCCACATAAATATGCTCCATCAACCTTATGTCAGAGTTACCGTGTGTTAAATACATTAGTTACTACATTACGTATACTAGCAACAATGTGTCAAATATACCACTTTTCTAATTTAAAAAAAAATGTATACCCATAATAATACCATCGGAAATATTTGTAATAAAGTAATGAGCTTAAGAATAATATCTTTATAACAATATTTCATGCATAGCATAACCAAATCTGTCAATGAACTCAGTAACAGATACTGAATAAGCTTCATACTGAGATGTCTTTCTTTTAGCATCCCTCTTAAAGAATTAGATATACTTAAAATAAATATTTTCTGTATATTAGAGAGTTTATTGTAAGTGAAATATAAACATTAAATTTTT